CTTAGCCTATCCACGTGATACTCCTATTCCCTCCCAATTACCCAAGCCCTATCTGGCCGCTGTCACCAAACTGGAAACTTCCAAACCCTAGGGAGGGTGGCAGGGACAATTAACAGGTAAGTGCAGATTCTGATTAAACTGGCCCCTTACTAAAATGGCCGCTTAATATACTCCTTTTCTCCACCCCTTTACACCCAATTCCTAACTACCCACCCCTAACTCTTTAACTCCACCTGCTTACTCCTTGGCTCTGTCAAGGCCCACTCCCCTGACTGCGCTGTTCCATGGGCTTCAGCCTTCTTGGTTTCATATATTTATAGCCATTAGGAGAATTATGATGTTCATGTAGGTTTTCCTTTTTGTAGAATGCCTTTCAACAATGAAAAATTGCCTAATTAACTGTAGCTGTGTGACCATTGGTAACCTAGGACTATTAAGCAGCATTTAATTAACTGCTCAGTAACTGAAACATCTAATTTGTTGCCCCTTTGTCACAATAATGAATAACACCTGTTATAATGAAATTAATTCCCACTGCATATTAACCAGCCCTATAAAATCCATTACTTGCTGTACATTCCAGGAACATGTCCATTAGATACGTTCCTTTATGAACATTCTTGAAGTTAAAAGTAGGAAAACATTGATCTAGAAAACCTCTTGTGCATTCAGTCCCAAACTAGTCATGATTCGTCTAAATTTTTGCGATAGGCGAGTAGTCTGAATCGCCATATGACAATATATGAGTCACAAAACAAACAAGAAAAAGAAATGAAGGAGCCATTTTGCTTGTTTTGTTATTTGGAGTTCCATCCGTGGTGGCAAAAAAAAGATGATAGATGGGGGGGGAAATTGATTGTTAGGGGACTCTAGCAAAATGTTGATTTTACTCACAGATTTTATTCACTGAAGTGACAATAGAGTGGGGGAAAAATAGGAGTAGCAAAAATAAAATCTTTATATATATATATATATGTATGGTTATTTCGTACTTCATCTGTGAACCAAAAGGATTAAAAATGCACCAATCGGTGTAATTAAAAAAAATATATATATATATATATGTAAAATGTCTCCTGATCAGCCACAACATTAATTAAAACCACCTGCCTAATATCGTGTAGTTACACCCGGTGCTGCCTACACAGCTCTGAGGCACCGAGGCATGGACTCCACAGGACCTCTGAAAGTGTCCTGTAGTATCTGGAACCAAGACATTCACAGAAGATCCTTTAAATCCTGTAACTGGCAATGCTGTTGGGTTGGATTTTTTTGTATCAGCACATGCCACAGATGCTTAATTGGATTAAGATCTGGTAAATGTGGAGGCCAAGGCAACACATTGAACTCCTTGTCATGTTTCTCAAATCATTCCTGAACAATTTTTGCAGTGTGGCAGAGTGCATTATTCTGCTAAAGAGGCCACTGCCATCAGGGAACATAACTGCCATGAAGGGGTGTACGTAGTCTGCAACAATCTCTAGGTAGGTGGTACATGTCAAAGTAACATTCACATGACTGCCAGGACCCAATATTTCTGAGTGTGTGTGTGTGTGTGTGTATATACATATATATATAATCTCCCTGTTGAAATTAAACTCCTGTAAGAGTGATCGTATTGTCCTCTACATTCTGTAGCTGTGATTTTGAAACTGATTAAAAAGCACATTTTACAAAATATCTTCCTATCTGATCCCAGCGTGATTGGATGACTAAGGCTCCAGATCATTTCAGGCGATCTTTAGAAAGAAGATACCTTTATACCTTGATAGAGAGGAGATTTTTAGCTGACTGAGTCTTAGTTTGGGCACCCTTACTCTCCCTTACTCTCCCAGCTATTTTTAAAAGACCATCATTTGACTAAACAGCCTTAATAAACCCATGTCATGTTCAGTACATAGCCTGACTGCCACTATGTTTGGCAAAGGAAGCTAAACTTGAGACAGCCCACCAATGGCCCCAAACCTGAGCAAAGGTAACTGGTCCATTTCCTAAAACTTCCCTACTTGGTAAACCTTCACCCTAATGAGCCACTTTGTATGGTTGTCTAAAAGTATGTATCTTTTTTACACTCTGACTTAGTCTCATGCCCATATGTAGAATCCAGGATGCAATGTGAGACTTGGTTTCCTGGTTTTTGCAGTGACATCGGGCATCTATAAAGATTAGCCTGTATCTATAAAGATTAGCCTGTACAGGTTACGAGGCACAACTTTTGGACTCTCAGGTCACGCAAGAAATGAATTACAATCTCCAGCCTATAAGCCTCTTGTACATCAGTTCAGTAAATGATAACATGAGGGACCAGCCATAACAAGAGAATGCATCAAGGTGTATTAGGAACCTTTTGAAATTTTAGTGATAGAAAAAAAAAAAGAACAGCAGATAGAAACACATAATTCGATATCTCTACGGGAATATCTATTGTGAAGATGCAGAGAGCAATGCACTTACAGGTGAACAATTATTGCTACACATTTACTTTTACTGAATGAGCTGAATTCGAACATACACTGTGAGTAAAAAGGCAATTTAAGTTCAAACCAACTTCACACTTCACTGGTGTCCCCATTTGTCTGAAGATATATCACACTTGTTTCCTTCTAAATTGATGAAAGATTTCACACAGCCCGAAGCAACAACCAGAAAAACAGTGTCTGTATCGTCCAGGACAGATCCGGTGAAGGAAAAGGGAAAATTAAAAACTGGAATGAAAGAGAGCCAATAGGGAGGAAAAAGAGACAACGTGTGGATTAAATGATCTATAAAAATCTGCTGTCAATATTCTAGAGTGACGGATAAAGTGAATCTGCCATGAACAGAAACTCTGCAATGTATCTTTCTATAATGCAGCAATACAGCAAGTAAAAAGACCGCTGGAGGTCCTAAAAAAGGGAAGTGTTGTGGGAAAAAAAGATATTTTAATGTTGTTGTGGTATATAACCGCACAGGTGTTTATAGAAGTACTGAATGTGTGTCACCCTTAGTTCTGGCATCATCTTAAACTAGTACCACATTGTGTGCATCCTCTGGATGCCACTGGTACACTTTGAAGCTTATTTTCATGCACCCTCTATCCCAAGTTTATTGTCCACCTGCAGGCCAAATGCATGTTCCAGGTGTGCCCCCTATTCCTTTTTTTTGCTATATATAAATTTGAAATTCAGACCAGATTTCTATTGGGTTGAGCACCGAACCATCCACTATAGGTGTCTCTTTGGAGGTGACCACAGGAAAGCATAAATTGATGAATCTCTGGAAACGGTTCAAGCTTTAAATATAGAAAGTTAGCATGTTCATCTCCTGTGTTAGCATTAGTGTAGGACTAATAACATTTAAAACGGTCTTATTTTTGTGTGTGTGCTGTTCCCTAATCTGTATTTTAGACCATAATCCATTGGTCCAAATGTGAATAAGGGAAAAATATGCTTTTTATCAGCACTCTGCCTGGACTAGAAGAAATAAGTGAAATCTGTAGATGTATGATTCTGATTCAATTTGTTATCCATGTTATTGCCCTTGAATCAGTGAAATTAGACTACAGATGCCAACCAGAAATATATAATTTTGTTATTAGATTGATGATTGCTGTTAAATTGTTTGACAGTCAGGGCTGTCAATATTTCAAATTCACTGTGCTTGGCTTCTGGAATGGAAGCCTAAATACTTGCTATACCTGTAGTTTAAACCTCAAATCGAAGCCTGTCTGTCACACTAAAAAGGCATAGGTTAAATATAGTGGTTAATAGGTGCATGGTGAAAGGGTGAAAAACTGTGGTTCTTCCGAACACCTTTGGCCAAAAAAATAAATAAATTCCCTGACTGCAGAAGTTAGTCTACTTCACAGATTGGATCAGTAGAAAAAAAATTGGAAAGAAATTTCAGCATGTCTAAGGTAAAGTTCCACTGCATGCTGACATCCTGTCGTAAAGAGTGTGTGGGAAGCCTTCTTTTCTCTTGTTCCTGCCTCAAGAGTTGGTTAGCCCATTGTCCATGTTAGCAGCTCCGTCGGTGAGCAGCTCTGTTATATAGATTGGTGTCTGCCTGCTCTCCCAACCTGTACGACACCATTCATCTGATTGCTGAAGTGTGCTTTTCGTCCTTTACTTTAACATGCATCAGGAGAGATTGATACCCCTGCTGCCATACAGATCCACTAAATACTACGAATAGTGGTGGTGCTGAGGGTGGTGGTGGAAGTGCTGTGTGTGTGTTTTTCTACCTCTTATCTGGACAGGAGTTACAGCTCACATGATTAGACAGACCTCTTGTCCATTATTTCCCGTTAAGCTGCTTATTTACCCCACCAAAAAAAAAAAATCTTCTCCATTCCATCACTCTTCCCCGGTTGCAGGAGCAGCAATATGAATCAGAAATTGGGAAAATAAAACCAAAAGATATGTTTGGACTTGTGCAAATTGGTTCCCTGAGATTCTGGCACATGACGGTTCGAAAATCTGAATTTGGGGCTGATTATCCAGTCAAGGGGTTAATGAGTGAAAAATATGATTTTAATATTTTATTATCAGACAAAGGGTTACTCTTATACGTCTTCCTTTGCATGAAAATGCATTATTAAGAAATTCAATTATTCCTGTAGATTTTAATAATTAAAAAGTTATGCAACTTGCTTCCAAATGACTTTAACAAACAGATCATGCATTCAACAGAACTGCATACAGATTACTTCAGAGTATTAGAGGCATAATAATTAATGACTTAGGATATAGGCACATTAAAAGATTGTTTCAAAGGGCTATTATCTATTATATGTAATCTCAACTCCATGCCGTTCCATCAAGTGATATGTCACCATGTGTCACTATTTATAATGCAATCAAAACGAGATATGTTAATTAGGGATGCAATATTTATTGGAAATGGCAGGGCAAAAGATCTTTTGAGATATTCTTCTCAGAGTTATTCACTAAAGTAAATTTCCCTTTGTGAAATTCAAAGTGAATGTCAAAATGTATGCTTTAACACTTACTCAGACCTCAATGGCGTGGCGCTTGCCCCTATCAGCTCACCACAGTTCCACGGAGCATGTCTTGCAGAGGCTGGATTCAATATTCCAAAGCTTTTGGGCTGAGCTGCAAAAAAGAGGAGAAGCTTCTCATTATTTGCTCCAGGACATAGCCAAAAGAAATGGGGAACAAAAGGCTGGAAAGTCTCCACTGAGAAGTGACATAAAGCTGCCACCTACCCGGCTTCCTTTCTGCCAATTTTGGATGAGAACTAGGGACAGCCTTCCCCATCGCAGCACATCGCAGCATGGAGAAATGCTTGCAGACCGCACAGGCTTATACCCAGCGCTTCCAGCAAATACCAGAAATGAACAATCATGGTACCGCGGAAGAGTGGGCGCAAGAGGCTGTTCTGGAACCTCATCACTGTGACCACCACACTTAATACAACTCATCCATATATCGAGCAAACAAGCACGCACACTCCCACCACAGTCTGTCTCAGAAGCCTATTACTTATGTGGGATGTACTGCTGGCAGACACAAGTCTTAGATGAGAACAGAGATGTCACCCTCATGAAGAGACTCTTATGCTACTGGTGTACTTGGGCACATTGCAGGGACCTCACAGGGGTGACTGTCGATGGCAGAGGCTAGGACTCTACCTCCATAGGAACTGGATGACTGACCCACACATCTCACATGCAGCTTGGTTGTATCATTCATGACCGTAATTTGCAAATTGACCCTAATGTCTCCATTGTTATTTTATGTTAATGCATATTAATTGAGTAACTTCATAAATCCTAAATCCTTAAATCCCAATGGTTTTTGTTCATACCTTGACAATATCTACAGTTCTACGCTAAAGCATGTGTCTTTCTTTCACCTACATAGCACTGTGTTCCTGTCTATGTTTAAATTTTTGTTTTTTCTCTTTATTTTCTGCAAAGGTTACCTGCTATACTCATCTGTCTCATATTGATGTTTAATTTTGAAAAAGTGCAGTACTCAAGACACATAATGTTATCTTTGCATTAAGATAACTCCCCCTTGCCCTATAAAGGGCTACTAAGGCAAACCTACCCCAGTAAGTAGCAAGAAAACACAGACACAATATAAACTGCAAGTAAAAAATATTTAATTTAGAGGGAGGGAAAGCTGTACTGCCACCATATTAAGAAAAAAAGAATTTACGGTAAGTAAAAATTTCTGTTTTTTTCTGTCATATGGCGGCAGTACCTGTGGGATATAGCAAGATCCCAATCCGGGTGGGTCCTACGCCACTACAGCTTGCAACACCTTACGCCCAAAGGCCGCTTCAGAGTATGAGAATATATCTAGCCTGTAGTGCTTGATGAAGGTGTTGAAGGAAGACCATGATGCTGCCTTAAAGATGTCTTCTGAAGAAGCAAGAGCCCTTTCTGCCCATGAGGTTGCCATAGCCCGAGTGTAATGAGCTGTGAGAGAAACTGGAACTTGATGTCCACGGGAAGAATATGCCAATCTAATAGTTTCTATGATCCAACAAGACAAAGAATTGAGGGAAGCTTCTTTCCCCTTGAATTTTTCCTGGAAGTTAACAAACAGATGGTCAGAATTTCTGTACTCCATTGTTCTAGAACAATGCTACCGAGGAGAAACCCATGATCCTAGATGCCAGCTTCAAAATTTCCACAGTCGTATCCATAAACAATTCATTTGACAACCGTAAATTCTGGAACAATCGGATAAGTTGTTTATCCAGATCTTCTGGAATCATATCCTGCAATGCATTGAGCCAAAAGCCATTAGCTCTGGCTACCGCAGCTCCTGCCAGTAAGGCTTTGCACTGAAAACCCGCTGTCTGAAAGGTTCACCTGCAAGAGGTCTCAGCTCTTTTGTCCAGGGTTCTTTAATGCTAATCTTCCCCTATAGGGATAGTGGTTTTCTTAGAAAATTGAGTTACCTGTGCATCCACTTTAGGAAGCTCTTCTCAAATTTCGGCACCCGTGATTTTAAAAATTTCCTTAAAGTGCCGTGAAATAAATGCTTGTTTTTCAGGATTTTTCCACTCTAAATTAAAACAATGAGAGGCTGTTGAACAGGAAAACCCTTTTTTGATTTTGCAGACACGTCTGGTATCAGAATCAGGTTTACTTCCTTCATAAATTTGCTTAGTTCATTTGGAGGAAACCCAAGCATTTCACATGAAGATGAACTAGACATGTCTGAATCTGTAGAGGCAGAACATTCACCAGATGAAGTTTCCGATCTAGAAGAAGATCTTCTCCTTTTCTTGACCCTCTGACTCATTTCAGGAATTACAGCGGAAACTTTTAGATTCCTTAATAGTATCTAAGGTCTGGGCCAAGTTATCCTGAAACCAGGTTAAGAAAGATTGCATGTTTTTCTATTTAGACTTTTCCAAGGAAATTGCCATCTTTTTTCCTTGTGCCATCTGGAAGAGGAGTTGCACACTCACTTAGATTTTGACATAGCCTTTCTGGTCGTAGGCGTGGGCAACTTCTCATTTCCATTTCGGGATATACAGGACTAAACATATCTGTAACAAAAATAATGGCACTACTTAAAACTTGTCCTTTCTTAAATTTCAATTTTACAGAGATAATTTTAAAGTAAATATTTGCGAATCTCACCTCAAAATACCTCTGAGTTGTGTGGGGGGCTGGTGACACGGTGTACCTCTTCTGGCAAGCATCCATGCTGTCAGTGGGTACCTGCACAGCTTTATATCTGATGTATTTCAAATTTCGCATTTTTTATTTTTTTTAAAGTTTTAATTAAAGAGGCAAGAGCATGGCCGCTCAGCATACCACCCGGGCAGCTATCGAGCCGGATCCCCCAGACCATCAACCCGTGTGTCTCACCTCTCAACAGATGCCAGTCCATCCCTGACAGGGACAAGGAAGGAACTGGGGTAGGTTTGCCTTAGTAGCCCTTGATAGGGCAAGGGGGAGGGATTTACTCATATTAATTATCTTACAAGTGCTTGTCCCAGGGGGAAGGGCAAACCCACCGGTACTGCCACCATATGACAGAAACAAAATGTGCTTTAATGGCTAAACTGTAAAAAAAATTTAAAATCTTCAAGTCAGCACGGTTTCTGATTGGACTATTCTGGCTTAAAATTTTAAATTCATTTTGAATTCCTGACAATTCTTACTTTAATGAATTATACATGTTTCTATAATGCAGATGTACCTTTTGACCAGCACTATGTGTGAAGAATTTTGAAAATATTTAAAAATTATTTTCTTAAAAAGTGCAATACACAAAAGAACAAGTGCTTGTTGTCATCTGAAAGCAGAGCAGGATTGGACAGGAGCCTCAGAGCCATGAGTTTACTTGGCACTATGCCCCATCATTATGTGAAGCAAACCTGCAGCCTGGCAAGGGTTTGTGAAGTTTGAATCCTTCTGCGTCTAAAAGAATACAGGGAGTGCAGAATTATTAGGCAAATGAGTATTTTGACCACATCATCCTCTTTATGCATGTTGTCTTACTCCAAGCTGTATAGGCTCGAAAGCCTACTACCAATTAAGCATATTAGGTGATGTGCATCTCTGTAATGAGAAGGGGTGTGGTCTAATGACATCAACACCCTATATCAGGTGTGCATAATTATTAGGCAACTTCCTTTCCTTTGGCAAAATGGGTCAAAAGAAGGACTTGACAGGCTCAGAAAAGTCAAAAATAGTGAGATATCTTGCAGAGGGATGCAGCACTCTTAAAATTGCAAAGCTTCTGAAGCGTGATCATCGAACAATCAAGCGTTTCATTCAAAATAGTCAACAGGGTCGCAAGAAGCGTGTGGAAAAACCAAGGCGCAAAATAACTGCCATGAACTGAGAAAAGTCAAGCGTGCAGCTGCCACGATGCCACTTGCCACCAGTTTGGCCATATTTCAGAGCTGCAACATCACTGGAGTGCCCAAAGCACAAGGTGTGCAATACTCAGAGACATGGCCAAGGTAAGAAAGGCTGAAAGACGACCACCACTGAACAAGACACACAAGCTGAAACGTCAAGACTGGGCCAGAAATATCTCAAGACTGATTTTTCTAAGGTTTTATGGACTGATGAAATGAGAGTGAGTCTTGATGGGCCAGATGGATGGGCCCGTGGCTGGATTGGTAAAGGGCAGAGAGCTCCAGTCCGACTCAGGCGCCAGCAAGGTGGAGGTGGAGTACTGGTTTGGGCTGGTATCATCAAAGATGAGCTTGTGGGGCCTTTTCGGGTTGGGGATGGAGTCAAGCTCAACTCCCAGTCCTACTGCCAGTTCCTGGAAGACACCTTCTTCAAGCAGTGGTACAGGAAGAAGTCTGCATCCTTCAAGAAAAACATGATTTTCATACAGGACAATGCTCCATCACACGCGTCCAAGTACTCCACAGCGTGGCTGGCAAGAAAGGGTATAAAAGAAGAAAATCTAATGACATGGCCTCCTTGTTCACCTGATCTGAACCCCATTGAGAACCTGTGGTCCATCATCAAATGTGAGATTTACAAGGAGGGAAAACAGTACACCTCTCTGAACAGTGTCTGGAGGCTGTGGTTGCTGCTGCACGCAATGTTGATGGTGAACAGATCAAAACACTGACAGAATCCATGGATGGCAGGCTTTTGAGTGTCCTTACAAAGAAAGGTGGCTATATTGGTCACTGATTTGTTTTTGTTTTGTTTTTGAATGTCAGAAATGTATATTTGTGAATGTTGAGATGTTATATTGGTTTCACTGGTAATAATAAATAATTGAAATGGGTATATATTTGTTTTTGTTAAGTTGCCTAATAATTATGCACAGTAATAGTCACCTGCACACACAGATATCCCCCTAACATAGCTATAACTAAAAACAAACTAAAAACTACTTCCAAAAATATTCAGCTTTGATATTAATGAGTTTTTTGGGTTCATTGAGAACATGGTTGTTGTTCAATAATAAAATTAATCCTCAAAAATACAACTTGCCTAATAATTCTGCACTCCCTGTATTATTTACTAAGATGTTTTGTGTTTGAATGTTTGAGAAAGAATCATTGGGATCTGTCCTGTTTTAGTGATAAATCTATCAGACCATTGACTAGTGTTGAGTGAGTTGCTAGATTGTCACCAAGTGAGCTGGTACATTAGACAGGTTTCTGAATTCCTCTGCAAGTAAGAGACAAAGGGGCATATATCTACAAGACAAGATAAAGAGATAATTATCTCAAAGCACTGCTAAGTGAATTCAGAGTGCCTCAAGGCTGGTTCCATGTAATATTTAATAGGTACACTGTTATAAAATGGAAGGCAAACGTGGAGGGTGTTTGCGAAGAGGCTCCATCTGTAAAATAATCTTAAAAACGAACTCGAGGAAAAATTGCAAATATTTATCC